GAATTTAATGCCTTATATAAACCTATTAATATTATTATCATTCATATATCCCCCTTTCAGCTCTAGTTGGTACCCATGAAATTAGTAATTGGAAAAACTTGTATGAATTTTGCATATCACTGTACGTAAAATTTTGCATTTATGTAAGCATAACTGTATGACTTATAGTCATAACTGTATGACTGTTCTTTCTTCAATGAATTAATTACAATCCTTTAAAGATTTAAAAAATAAATTTTAAAAGCCTAAACCAGATCCTTTTTTGTTATAAATGCAACGTAAGCAAAGCTTATGGATAACTCCATTTTAGATTATTTTTTTTCCCAAAATGATGCAGAACGTTCAATAAAATACTTGACTAATATAATTACGTTCATATAAACTTTGTCGTTCAAAGCACAAATGCATTCAGCTTTCTGCCGCCCAAGAATCTGAATGTATTCTTGGTCAAGTTAATATATTTCTTGTCTTACGAAACGGTTGCAGGCTGTTCCGTTGCCCCGAACCTTGAATCATCTAAATTTAGATGAATCGTTATCTTTGATAAGCTTTTCATCTTCACAGAATGGAGATCTTAAACATCAGGCTTATGAAACACATTTTATCAAAAGAATATTTGCTTGTTACATCCGATAAGAGACAACTAAATCAAATAATAATTTAAAAAAAATTATTATGTCTTCCCAACTCTTTTGATCAATGAGATATTTATTTACATGCATTTACTTCCTAATCAAACAGCATTTTTTGTAATTACATTTGGCACTTCAATGTTATTCTTCAAATATGATTCAATAGGTATATGCAGCGAACCAAAGGTAATGTCTGTAAATTATATACATTTCAATGAATATCGTTAAAGGTATTGTTTTTAGATTAAATACAGCAAAGCACATCAGGGATGCCTTCGCAGAGGACATTCAATCGAAAACCGGCATTTCATTTAAACTCAAACCCACGAAAATATCCATGTAGCCAGCCTTTCCGCTGAACCTGAACCCGGGTCGTATTATAAGTATTCAGTGGTCTTATCAACTTGGCGCTCACAGGCACATAACAGGTATTAATGATCGCCTCTTTAATATAGCTGCTATAATTTTAAATCACATAGGGAACATTCTTTTTATTTCAGTATTAAAAAGTTTATTATATTTACATATGAAATAAAACTAAATAGCCTCCTCTTTGAAGACCAGAGGGGCTCTGCTCCTGAAACTGAAACAAACACACACACACACAAGCAAGCAAAATCAAATAAAACGTCAACAACAGAAAAAAAAAATGCTCTCTCAATTGAAAACGCAAGTAATGAAAATAGACATTAAATGTGCTGCATAGCAGATATAGGGAAATTCTTCCGTAGTTCTCTATTGACTGTGGATTTAAATCATATATTCTCTTCATCTGGCTGATTTCCAAGCCAAAGAGTTATGCATTATGGTTACAAGGAAATACCATAAAAGTACTTTCGTTTCCACTACACTTCGAATTCAAGGCAAATGTCGCATTGGTGAGGATAAAAGATGAGAAAAGGTTTTTGCAGTCCTTAATAGTCTGTAAATAGTATATTTCGATATGTTTATTATGTTCTTTATTATTCACCTGTTGTGTAGTGTAATTCGAAGGTTTATTGATTAAAGAATTAGGTATATTGCTTGTAATTGCTTGGATAATAAGGAAATTTATAATTATGTAAAATCGTGTCATTCTTATATTTGAGAAGAGAGTTCACAGGGCTTTTCACACAAGGCTCCGCTTCTGAGACCGCATGTGACTTCTCGTCAGACAGAACGTATAGCCATTCATATTGTGGGTCCTTTTCCAGTTTTTTTAGTAGGAAATAAATATATATATTATTTTCTACTAGATTTCCTACTAGATATTAGTAATTACCGACTATTTCACGAGATGGAATGAAGCTTATCGGATTATCCTTTGCCGGACTGTACTACTGAAACCATCATAGCAAAATTGTAACTTTATCTCTTCTCACGACATTTAGGCGTAACCAAGCATACCACTAGGAGCTATCACCCACAGTCAGACGGAGTAGTTGATCGCCTAAATACCACTTTAATAAATTCGCTTAGTCACTTGGTGAGTCAGACTCAGGATGATTGGGACAGACATCTGTCTTTTGCGCTTTTAGCGCACAGAACGGGCAAGCATAACGCCTTACAAGATTATCCTGCATTTTTTATGTACGGAAGACATTTAAATTTACCTATTGTTCTTTTGATTCAACCAAATTTTAGAACTAATAGTAACACGGGAAATTATTCCAAGGACTTAGTTTTAAGACTCCCTAAGGCTTTCATTTTATTAAATAAACATTAATCGGATGCTGTGAAAATGCAAGAAGCGTTTAGGGATAAGAAGATCCGTTTAAAGGACATTAAAATAGGTGATCTTTTTGACAATGTATCTTTTTACTCCTGTAGTTTGACCTGGGTTGGCTAAAAAACTTACTAAGTTCAATAAAGGCCCATATAGGCTTTGGGTGGTTGACTAAGTCACTAAGGAGAATTTTAAAATTGAGCTAATTAAAAACTCGCATCAATCACAGGTGGTACCATGTGAACATATTGATTAGGGTACCTACCTGAACGTATAAAATTTCCTTCTTTACAGAATTGCGACATTATCGCTCCGGAGCGAGTTGAGAATCAAAATACCGGTACTCCTTATAATTTGAGGTAGAGAGATTCATACGGTTTTGTTGATTCCTAGAGTCGATTCGTTGTATGTATTTGTCTCCGTAAAAAGGGTGGAACAAACAGAATTCTTTTCTAACTTTTTCCTTATGTTTTCCCAAATGATTTATATTATTGTGTTGTGTATGAATTAAATTGTTCTTTCTTTAGTTATTACACCGAGCAGCGCTAGTTTTCCTTTTACAGGACGTGTGAGGGTACGTCCTTCTTCTTGGATTTTGACAATAACGCCTCGATGGTTATTTTTTTTTGGAAACATTTTCGGCTGGTTCCTATGTTTCTTACTTGAGTAAACGTTAGTAAAATTCTTTTTCTCTCTTTCCTTTTGTTTTCGAGCGGGGGTCTGATCAGATCGTTTTTTCTTCGGCTTATTCGACGTGATTGCACGAGGTCAAGTTTTTAGACGTTTTCTATTGAAAAGAGGGTTACATACTATTAATGTGTGCCTATTGTGTATCAGATTAAATTCTTGTCTTTCTATTAATGTGTTAAAGTAAGGAGTAATATTATTTGAATATCCTCCTTTGCCTGATATTTCTTTTAGTATAATAATGTATGTTAATATAATTATGTACATGTGAAATAATGCATGTTCACTTAACAGAAAATGTTCATTTTACATACATGTTTCATTAAATAAAATTGATTCCAGATTAATAATGAATAAATCGAAAATGATATTTTTCATAAATATCGCAAGATAATTCGTTCAATTATACACATATTTAGCCTTTCAAAGATGTTATGTATAAAACGAAAGTAAATGCAATTTACTTAAAGTAAAAAAAACACAACCAATCTTCAAAAAATACTTTCAAGATTAGTTTTTTGCCTTGCCAGTTGTGCTTTATAAGAAGAGAAAAAAAAATTTTTTTTCGAATTAATCAGACAACAACTTTATCTACTTGTTGCTCTTACTCTGTTCTTTCTACCAAGAAATATGAGTGAAATAGCATAAATCAAATATGAATGAAAAAACATGCATGATGCATGTACACTGCACAAAAAAAAAAAAAAAAGGGGGGGGAACAGTTTTATATCTTCCGTTCTACTGGGCCAATTGACGAAATTCAAATTGCGTTTTTCATGTGTCCAAAGCGCGATTTAGGATATATATTAGATTTATATATAGCATTGTTCTAACGTAGGTACTTTTACACAAAATGGGACTTTTCTGAAATAACATAGCATTTTTTTTTCCATTTTTCAATAATACGATTCATATTATGCCTATATATAAAATTCGAGCCAATATATAAATTCACGTATATTTTCGGAAATTCTGAATAAAAAATTTTAATTTTTTGCAGGTATGCTTAGAAATACATCTACTTTAAGATGATGGCAAAAATTTTAAAGATTATAATTCAAAATTTTTTCGAAAAATTTGTAAAAATTATTTAAAAATACAAATTTTAAAAATAAATAAAAAAATGGGCAAATTTTATTTGGAATGGACCTAAATTTCGAAATGTGGAAAGAAGAATCACATAAGTTTAATAAAAAAAAGATATATTAATAAATATATACCAAACTCAATTAACATTGAGGAGCTAAAATTTTGAGAGCTAATTTTTGAAAGACTACTTCGAGACATGTAAAACGCAAGTTGAATTTCGTCAATCGGCCCAGTAGAACGGAAGATATAGAACTGTCTGTCCCCACCTTTTTTTTTTTTTTTTTTTTTTTTTGTTCTTGGTTCTTGCGCAGTGTACTCATGTCTTCCAATATAGCTAAAAACATTGTTCGTATTTATACTATATTGTACTATTTATACTAAATTACCATTTAATACATAGCAGTAAAATATTCATTTCAATTAAACTTTCATATAAAGTATTTAAATTATTTTGTTATACAATAAGATTAAAGCATATTTAAAATAAAGACATAAAAATATTGCATATTGTTCCAAAAGATAACATGATAACCGAAAGTGGAGTAATATTTTTAAAAGAAAACCTAAATTGTTTCGCTTAAGAAATTGCAATAGGGAATTTCCTTAAACGATGTTTTTACAATTTAGCAGTTCCATAAGTGAAATCTCAAAGTAACTTAATAATCAAATGCTTTTTTTCCCTCAAGATTTATACGTAATAGTTTCAGAGTAGTTCTTCCTGAAAACTGACCAATGCAAACAGATAGAACACGTACAAAAGATTTATGTCTGACGTTCCATTACTTTACGACAACTAAGATACAAAACCAAGAGGATTAAAAGAAAAGACAGTATTTACGACTGCGCATTTTGTGAGGATCAGTGTTGCATCGGAAATAGAAACTTACTCGTATTCATAAAATCCGGGTGGAAGAACATTTCTCTTGGGCCTTTTCTCCCATTCAGCTGGCTTCGTTTTGTCTCCTGGCAGAACGCACTTTACGAGCAAGACTTCTCTCGATTTGTTTTGTTGGTCGATGATGATACGGTTATAGTACATAGTTTGTCCCTGCAATGATAATCAAAAGGGCAAAAGTTAAAAGACTGCGTTACCAAAAAAAAAAAAAAAAAAAAAAAAAAGGAGGAGAAGAAGAGAAGAAGAAAATAAAATCTAAATAAAAAGAGCTGTACATACAAATGATCGCTACACATCCTAATCTATGCTTTCCATTTTTAAACTTGCGTATTTACATTTTATTTTCCCATTTTCTGTTCGCATAAAATTATTTTGTACAAGTATGAATAAGCGTGTGCAGATTATGCACAAACACCTCTCTCTAAATAAATGTGTGTGTGCGCAGTAAATGTCTAATCTCAACTTGATTTCAGTTTATATAATACAAGGCGATTTTCTAGAAGTTCTTAAAAAAAACCCAAACAACTACAAACACATAATATATCCATAAAATCAAACAACTTGGTACAGAACACAGTAAATTTTGGCAATAAAAATTAATAGTATGGAAGGAAACTCACTTTTTTTGCCTTTTTCATTTTATTTTTTATGTGTGTGTAGTGGTAATTGTTTAGTCAAGCTTTTCACTATTAGACAGCGCTGCATTACACAGGCAGCAACAATTGCAGTTAGAGTCTTAGTGAAACGATTTCTCAATACAGAAGTCCGTTATATGCATAATCAATAGCTTTTTAAGGCATTCGCAAGAAAAAGATGCTGTTCACTTTGAATTCTATTCTGATTGTAATCGTTATTGTTGAATGCAATACAGCATCCTTTGTCGCTGAAAATCAGAGAAAATTCCTCTCCTTGTATGAGGTTAGACACACCGTATTTCCTGATACCCCTTTTCATAATTTGGCAGAAATCTAGTTTTATAGTGTTTTAAAAATTTTATAACGTAGGCCAAGTGTAAACTACATAAATTATATAGTACTGTTTGCAATATTATTTCGATTCCGAGAAGTGCTGTGAATACAGTACATCGCCATGTTTCGATAACAATATAAACTAAATATGCCTCTTCTTCCCTAACAAACTCCTCGCGATCGATTTTTACGCAAACCGTAATCCAGTATACATATGTGCTAGTTATAAATTTTAATTTGAGCAACCTATTAGTTAACTCTGTATTAGCAGAATTATTAAAATCTTACCGAATATTTTCAGTTAATATATTAAGTAATTAAATTTAACTTTAGTATGCAATATTTAGCAAAGTGCTTGATAGTACCTTTTCTTCTCTTGATTTAAATGCCCTAACTGAGGCAAAAATATGTCAAAATTCAACAGTCGATTTTTTTTCATCTGTACTTTCAGTTCAGCATCGTCCTCCCCTATCAAATGCTAATTGCGTAAAGATTTCGAGTTAAATACTTTGACACAATTCAAAGACTTGGAAATCCTAGACTTATTAATGCACCGAAAAGGGACCTTTTAATCTCCCGTCGTTGCGCTACTAAACCTCATTTAATTTTATGCAGAAGTTTATAAAATTTTCTGTTGTTCTTTCCTAGAACTATCATAAATGCGAAATATATGGCAGATGTTAACGGTAGCATTTTTGTTTACGTTTCTAGAAGAAATATCTAGTGTCAGTCAAAAATTTTGTAATCATCGTAAGGAGAAAGTTGAATAGCTTTTTCAATAATGAATAAAAATTTTTTTGAAAAAAAGACAAATTTATTTATCTGTATTAGACTGCTGGGCATTAAAATTGCAACACGAAGAAGTAAAGCAAATGCAAAAAAGATATTTATTACACGTAAACAGAATGGCATGAAGATGTGGTGTGGTGTATTTAATTATGACAAAGCACACTACGGCTATCTGCCTAAGGGGAGGGATGCCTTCGTGGAGGACTTTCTAAGGTAAACTGGCTCGTATACACGTTACACATGGGGAAAACCACGAAAACACCCATGCAGCCAGCCCATTCGCGGGATTCGAACCTCGTACCGAACTACCAGTGTTCAGCGACTTTACCGCTCGGCCGCTGGTGGGCTGAATGCCATGAAGACAAAATGATTAAATTTGTAAGCATTTTAGAGGTTTACAGGGGTGCAAAATTAGTATAAACAGCTGCCCCCTCTGGCAGCTAAAACCAGGGCTGTGAAGTCGGTGTCGGGTAGATTCTTGGGTGAAAGGAGTCGGAGTTGGAGTCGCTAAAAAACACGTCGACTCAGACTCCAGTTTTTATTGAACAGTTTAAATTTGAAATGAAATTAAAGTGAATTGAAAACAATTAATGACAAACTGAGTTAATACTTTTATTTATAAAGTATATACATTAATAAATAGTTATTTTCTATTTTATTGACATAGTAGTAAATTATATAAGGGAGTAAGATGGATGTGATATTTGGCATTATTAATTAAACTGATTCATTTAGCTACTAATCTCATTGGTGAATTTAGGTAAGCAGCAAGAACTCCCGATATTGATGCCATTCTTAGGAAGCCAGCAGGAAAAGGAGCTATTATTGATCGAGCAACGCGATGGAGAAGTACATATTTGATTATACGATGGTTGTTAGAATTAGGAACGTTTTCAGAAGTTATAGATAATCCTAATGTTTCACTAACAGAAAGACTGTGAAATGATCTTGCAGAATTGGAAACCTTTCTTTCAACACCGTATATAGAACACCGCCATAAAAAACCATATTTCAACACCGCCATAAAAAAGCTACAAACTGAAAAATTAACAGGAGACGAGAATGTTAGAAGATGCAGATAACCCTAATGTTTTCACTAACATAAAGACTGTAGAATGATCTTGCAGAATCGGAAACTTTTCTTTCTATACCGTATATAGCCACCAAAAGCTGCAATCTGAAGAATTAACAAGAGGCAAGACTGGAAGAATTTGATGTTTGTTCTTTCTAAAATGGAGGGTTTATTGCAGAAGGAATAATTTCTTTAATGAAGAAAAGAGAAACTAGTTTGTTAGACAGTAAGATCGTGCTGGGTTCAATATATGTAGATCCAAATCGCCGAATTTTGTTGGATGACAAACAAATAAAAAAGGCAAAGAAAGCCATCTATGAACTTTCATTAAGAAGGAAATTATTATCAGAACAACTGGAGTATTCAAATCAGGACAGTCAAACTGCAGATATTGTAACTGAGTCTCTATCATCGTCTTCCACTGATGAATTATATTTTGAAAAATATTTGGATAATATTGATAAGGTTAAGGCAAAGCGAATGAAAATAAATAACCAAGAGCCTTTAGATATAAAAATTAAAAAATGCAAACAAGATTTATACACAGCCTTTGAAGAAATAGATAAATACGATTCCTCTTGCGAGGCACTTTTTTAGAACTTATAAAAATCTATCCTGAAAAGTTAAAGGAAGTAGCCCTAACAGTAACAGCTCTTCTTCCTACTCAAGTCAGTGTGGAAAGACTCTTCTCAAATCTGAATTTTATCAAATCGGATCTATGGTCCTCTAACAAAAAGGATCTTGCCGAAGTTTTACTGTTTCTTAGAAATTACTAATGCCAGTTTTTCCATTTCATAATAAATGGTAATTAATATAAAAAATTTGCTATGCATCAATTTTTTTCTGTAGCATCTATTACTTCTTTGATACTAAAAAAATAAACTGTACCCATGTGTATATGTTTACATAAATATGAAGGAGTCGGAGTCGAAGTTAGAGTCAGAATCGAAGTCGGTCATTTTCCTTACCGACTCCAATGCCCTGGCTAAAACGACCCTTACCCAATTAGGCATGGAGTCAAACTGGCGTTGGATGTCAAAATTGGGCAACTCATTCCATGCTGCTTTAAAGCAGCATGAAATGAGTTGACCATGGTCTTGTATTATCTTGTTGGAACATGGCATTTGGAGGTCTCGAAGGTAAGGCACAAACACTGGACGTAAGATGTCAGAAATGTACCCATCTGCTTAAATTACTGTCGATCCAAATTAGAGATGTGCGTGTCGATACCCAATAGCTGCTCAAATCATCCATCAGGTGAGGGCCAGTATGCCGATATCGAATGCAAACAGACGACGTGCGGTCTCCTTGGAACCTCCAGACACGTATACGGCCATCAGAATACTGCACAAAGAACCGGGACTCGTCTGAAAAGAAGACGTTGTGGCACTCCTGTATCCAACTTTGTCGTCTGGCGTACCAGAATCTTCATACCTCTGTTGCATTGTCAAGGGGAGCCGAAGAAATAGTCGTCGTGATAGTTTACGCAGCTGCGAACGTCGACGGACCGTACGAGCGGATACTAAGCGTGCTGCAAACATGCTCATTTCCTGACTAATGGTCCGTGATAGGGTTGCACGGTGTTGCACGGCTGACCTGACAATATGTGTGTCCTCTCTGGAGTCAGTCATGGGAAGCCTTGAGATCCTGCATGCCATTCAGTATGACCCTCAGCAATCCATTGATTCCATATTCGCATGACACTGTTTGGATGTCGACCAATTCGACATGCGATATCACGGAACGATAATATACACTTTCGTTAGGCAACGATCCTGCCTCTCTCGAATTTCAAAATTTGCTGGTAAGCATTTCCTCTTCTTATTTGAGGCATAACACGATATTCTGAGCAAACTCCAACCTTACAAAACACTTTCCGAATGAGAAATCTCCTACACAACATTTTTTCTATGCAATGCTTGAGGTGCTGTTTCTACCTCCTGCGTCATCTAAATGTGCTGAAATACTATCAATATCCCAAATTTTTTCTTTCTTTCATGTGATTTTGACGTTCGTCAGATCATTCCTTCCTGGTGTTGCAATTTTAATGACCAGCAGTGTAGATACATTTATGAAATTCATATTGTTTGCGAAAATGAGAAAGTTATAACATTATTATACATCGTACTGGGAAAATGCTATAGCTAAGATGGATTAGATGCTTTAAACCTACCAAATTCGAGTGTACTAGAGAATTGATCGAAGCCGCTTGCAGTTTCATAGATACTGTGTCCGACAATAAATATTTTTAATTGAACGATATGGTTCACTTTATACCATGTGCTTTACTGCATTGTGAAGTTATTGCATATTGGGAAACAGAT